ATAATTTTTAATATCAGTCTCCACAGCATATCCTCACATTTTTTTAAAAAAAATAATTAGATCACGTACGAATCCTTGATTCCCATATGGTAGATCTTTAAGGTTTGCTTCAAAAGAAACCAATTCTTTAAAGTCTTTGAGCCAAAGTTTTAGTTCGAATTTCATGATAGTTTTACATTGTGCATTAACTATACTTATTATGCAGGCAAACCTATCTAATCATCTGGTGAAGAGAAATTTCTTTGAAGGAGACATTAAATTGAATTAGCCAATATCAAGTTAATGAGATTTTCCTGTAGGATGAATTAAAATTTAGTGATCACTTGCATTTTCAAAGTACTTGGTAATAAATTTTTATTAAAACTGATTCAGGAAAGCCCAAAAGAGGATAATGGGGCCCAAACCATATTATTGTTAAATAGGAAAATTCCAAAATTCTAAGGAAGAGATGTTGCTTGAGAAGGTTACTGGCTTCTGCTCTCCAAGGGTTGTAAAAGGGAGCAAGACGGTGACAAGTAAACACACATGCCATTCATTAAGTGGTGTAATGGGTTTTATAAACTCTAAAGCACTATTAAAATATTAGGCATTACTGTATGTGGTGTTAAGCAGGTCCTCAAAGCAACACCCATATTTTGGAAAACAGGAAATGGAGGTTAGAATAAATGAAACTCTCTGAAAGATAAACCAAACTCACTGCCATTGAATCGATTCCAACTCATAGCTATCCCCATTTGGTTTCCCAAGGCTGTAAATCTTTACGGAAGTAGATTGTCTCATCTTCCTTCCTCAGAGCAGCTAGTGGGTTTGTTCTGCCTACCTTCTGGTTAGAAGCCAAACTCTTTACCTATTGTGCCACCAGAGCTCCTTTATCTGAAAGATTGTATGTTCATTATTTTGTTTTTATCTCACACAAAAAACATGAGGAAACTCCTGTCCCTGCAGTATTGGGAAAGAGAGACAGAGCATTCTGTCCACACTGAATCTGAAGAAGGGAGAGATGAGAAATAGACAAATTTGAATCAGGTAACATGATTTGCCTCAAATCCCACATACAGGTTTCTAGGACCAGAAAGTCAAATCTACACCTGAGAAATTCCTTTTGTTTGAAAATGGCAGTTCCTGGGTGAATCTTAGATGAGAGTCCATGAAGGATATTTTACCAGTCTAGTGACCCCTGCAGGGAGCTCTGGTGATGTAGTGCCTAAGGCATTTGACTGTTAACTAGAAGGCTGGCAGTTCAAACCCACCAGCCACTCCTCAGAAGGAAGATTGGACAATTTGCTTCCATAGAGATATTACCTCAGAAACCCAAGGAGGGGTCACTGTGAGTTGAAACCAACTCAACAGCAGTGAGTTTTGAGTTTAGTGATCCATGAATGTAGGCCAACTGTGTCTCCTGAGGAGGCTCAGAACAAAAACCCTCTAGTGTTTCTTCTGCCAGGGAGCTTTCTATCCCAGGACAAGATGGCTATACAGTTGCCAAACTTTATTTTCTTCACTTGAATGACCAGGAACTCCAGGATGAGGAACACCAGGAGACATTAGAGCGATCTGTCAGCAGGAGCAGATACCTTTGTGTGCCTTTGTGTCCTCTGTGGCTTACTGTGGGAACCCAAGACTCCCAAGTTTCCTCAGGGAGGCTGCTGAGAGTTGTAGTAAGAGAACTAGGAGAAGCTGCCCAGTCTGTGTAAAGAATCAAAGATATAACCCAGAAGCTGTCCAGCAAGAAGAAACATGTTTTGTATGTGGAAGAAAAAGGCAGCGCCTTATTCTGAATTCATGACATAAGTAGGACCAGTTTCTGACGAAACATTTGGGGAGGCCGCTCAGTAATTCCAGCAGATAAAAGTGTGGTCTCTTGGTCTCTTTTGAAAATACCTCCCAAAAATGGCACTTATTTTGAAATTAGAATATAAAAAGTCATTCCAATGCAGAGTAACAAAACGATAGCATCTTCAGCAGCTCTACAAGTGAAAAATCAACTTCTTCTGGAACTAAAATGCTTAGCCAAACACATCAAAAGCCAAAAAGTTCATGGATGTCAAACCCAGAGAAAAGCAGATGCAGAAAGAGTCCAAGTTATATGAAGAATATTAAAGAGGAGGAAGCCCTAATTAGAATATTTCAAAGACCTGGCACAAACCCAGACCTGAGCAAACTCTAAGACAATAGCTCCTACAGGAACCAGTCCCTGAGTCTTAGTATTTGAAGCATGTCAGATACAGCAGTGCTTTTCAAGATGTGCCGAACTTCCTGGGAAATTTAAATACACTACTCCCCATACACACACACCTTTTTGTAAACCTTTTCTCATTGTAGAAAATTGGCAAATTAAAACAAAATTTAAGATTCTTCATAAAAATGTCACCTCCCAGACGAATTTTAAAAGGCAACATAGCTTCTGATAAGTTAAGACCTCTTCCCCCAGCTCTGATGTACAACTTCCTAACCCCAGGTCCTATATAAGACCACCCTCTCCCCTGCTCGCTCTCTTCTTCCTCTCCCTTCTTCCCTTCTCTTCTTCCTCTTTCTTTCTTCTTCTCTTCTTCCTCTTCTTCTTTGTCTTCTATCCTTCCTCGGCACAGGCGCCCTTTCGCCTCTTTAATAAAATCTCCTGTTGGGTAAAAAAAACAAAGTCACCTCCCAGAGATAATTACAGCTACTGCTTGGTACAAAACTAGGATCATACTGTATTTGTTATGCTACATCATTTATACCCTTCCATGTTAAATGTAGACATATATATATTTTTTTTAATTTGCCCTTAATTATTAGGGGATCTAATAACTATAATGGAGCACTCGTGGCACAATGGTTAAGCACTCAGCTGCTAACTGAAAGGTTTGTGCTTCAAACCCACCCAGAAACTCTGAAGGTGATCTGCTTCCAGAAGGATTAAAACCAAAAAAACAAAACATTGCCCTGGAGTCAATTTTTACTCCTAGTGACCCTCTAGGGCAGAGTAGAACTGCCCCATATGGTTTCCAAGGCTATAAATCTTGATAGAAGCAGCCACATCTTTCTCCCATGGAACGGCTGGTGGGTTTGAACTGTGAGAGAAGAGCAATAGAAGTTCTGCCTGTTAGAGCTTTTTGTTTGTCTGTTTGTTTTGCTATTAAAGATAACCAAAGAATTAAGTGAGTTTTTGAAATATCATAATATTTGTCAGAGACAAAATAGGCAGCAGTGTATTTATAAAGCATGGATTGTATTCTGGAATATTGCAGGGTTTATGAGCTGGTAACTTGCCTCACTACATTAACTGAATCCATTAGTGAAACCAAGTTTTAAGGGCAAGCTTAATTTGTTTTTAAAAATGGGATTTAAAAAAAAAAAAAAAAACACTGAAGCATGTTTAAATGATTGCAGTTATAGGCAATTAATCATTTAGTATTTAAGGAAAAGTTGTACATATTCAGTATGAATTTTAAAAACCATGGAAGTGAGTTTTAATTTGTTTATAAGATGAGAAAAAAGGAAATTGCCAAAGATTCTAAAGATATAGTTAAACCCCTTTACCAAAAAAAATGAAGTGTAATTTTGAAAGGCTAGTTGGAAACAAAGAAGAATCACTGGTGGTTGGAAAATTTGGCCTTGGTGACAGAAATAATGCTGGAACTCGTATGGTAGAATTTTG